CATCCTCGTAGGCTAGGGATTATGCGATATTGTTATTGATTGCGTGAGCGAGAATTGATTGAGAGATTAATTGATCACGAGTGACTATTGCTCGGTTGCATGTTCCCGAACTTATGAGGGCCTTCTTTCCATCTCGGGTCTAGGAGTACCTTGTTCTTTTTCTCTTTATTTTCCTTTTTCTTGCAATTTGAGGTCTTGCTTGCTATTAAGTTTGAATCTTGCTTTCGTTTTTGCTTATATTGCGTTCTTAGCTTAATCCAAACCCCAAATTGCGAGTAGAGTGTTTAGGAATTTTATTTTATTTTCTTGTGTGAGTCGATCGTTGTTTGAATTTGTGTCTTAATAGTCTTCCTTTGAGAACGACCCGAGTCGGGTAGCTCGGTTACCACATGCCCAAAAATATACTCAACAAAATGGCGCCGTTGCCGGGGAAGGCGAGTAGGCCATTGGATTTAGACAATTGATTGACTTATTTTTCGTATTTCTCTTGCTTTTTGTGATCCTTGCTTAATTTCGTGTGTTTCTTTTGCTTATTTGTTTGTTTTCGATTTCTCTTGCTATTTGGTGTTTGTGTTCTTGTATATATTGTGTCGTGTTATTCGTGTTTTGTGTTATTTTGTCTTGGTCTCGTGTGCCTTGGTTTGTTTGTTGTTCTTGTGCGAGGTAATCCGCTTGAGGAGCCCCGATGGACCCATATGATTATTCCTATGCCCGAAGCTCGTCTCGAGGACACCCCGACAATTACCAAGAGGAGATATACACAACATATGGGGAGCCGTCTTGTTTATATCCGAGTTATTCACCTTCTTACTCTTATGACGGATGCTCTACTTCCCATGGGTATGGCCCGAGCCATTTTTACCCGACATCTCGAGCCGATTATGTTTATGACATTCCGGGTCACGATGAGCCGCCTTATGTCAATCCTCCACCTCCGGACTATTACTATCCACCGCCTCCCGATTATGAAGGAATACCTCCACCCGAGCCACCTCGAGGAGCTTCTCGAGTCAATTTGGACGAGATCATGGAGCATTTAAAGGAGTGCAATCGATCCCTCCGTGCTTCAATGGCCCCCATGTCCGAAAAGGAAGAAACCGAGACCTTTGTTTCATCCTCTCCATCATTTGAGCACCTATCGGTTGGCCAACCTTGTACCTCGAGTTCCGAAGCTTCAATTCCAACAACGGTTGTGCCTTTCGAACGTCACCGAGAGGTGTTGGCGAGCACTCAAGAGGCGCTTGCAAGCCTCATGTCAATCGTTGAGGAATTTCATAGTTGGAGTATTCCCATTCCATCCGTTCTTCAAGTCACACTCACGAAGTTCGACTCTACCGTGGTCTCTTTTCTTGATTTGGACGCCTCTCAAATTCCGCTCGGTAGGTATTGTTCTCTATCGGCGAGGATTATTCGGGAGAGTACTCGGTTAGAGGGTGAGTTTCGAGCTATGGTGGATCGGTTTACCTCCTTGAATGAGATGGGCCTCACTCTCGTTTATGACGGTACTCAATCTCTCGACACGAGTGAGGACCTTGACGAATTGGTTGTTAAAGAAATATCCTCTCTTGACGATTCGACCGTGCATTCCATGTTAGGTACGTCAATTCTTTCTTTCGATGATAGTGCTTTGAATTTGAATTCTTTTGTTGAGGGTGAGCATATGGAATCGGGTGTTGATATGGTGTATGGTATGGGGGAGAACTCATTCAAGGAATTGATTGTGCCTATTCATGAGTCGAATGGTTTTGAAATTGCTCGGGAGGATGAAATTGAGGAGGAGGGTGAGTTAGATCGTGATGTTTTAGATGTTGTTGAGGAGGATTCCGAGCTATTATGTGGTGTCGTTGACTCGAGGCATGCATTGATTGATGAGTCGACTTGTGATGTTGAGTGTGACGTGGTTCCCATGTCCTTTGGGGCGTCGTTTCGTATTATTGAGGATCGTGACCATTTGGAGGAGTTTAGTGTGCCTACGCCCGTACTCCCGATGCTTGAACTTGATGAGTACACATTCGAGATAGTACAAACGATGACCGGGATTGATTCGACGTGCTCCACGGATATTTTTATATTTTCAGAGGTCGAGTATGGGGCCTCGGTTCGTAAAAATTCACCTCTCCTCTTTGTGGTTGATGATATCCGTGCTCGGTTTCACAAGAACTCGGCCACGAGAGTGTACTTGGCCCGCCTTTGTTCCGTATTACCGGATCGTCTACTTTTGGAAAATACAAAGGCGTGGCATGATCGACATTTTTTCTTGGATCCTGGTTGATTTTGGTTTGAGGACGTCGAGCTCAAGACGTTAAATTGAGCGCTTCGTGGGAGGCAACCCACGGTTATTGCGTTTTCTTGCTTTTTGTTTTCTTTTAAAAATAAATAGCTCCGCTAGCCACACGAACACAACATTTTTGGAGAAGAAACCGAGGCTCGGAGCCGAGATGTTATTGAAAAATGAGTTGAAAAATTTGGTGAGGTGTTGAAAATTCGGGGTAAGTATGGAAATTATTGAGAAATGCCCGTGCCGACCCGCTCGGCGGTACCGACCTGTTAGTGCCGGGCCAAAAATTTTTATCAAGGAAGTTCCGGGAGGTGTGGAGGAGATTTGGGCGAAATCGGGTCGAAAATGCTAAAATTATGCCTAAGTATGGAGAAAATGGCCCCAGGCCCGCACAGGCCCGCAAGGGCCCGAGAAAGCCCGCGCCCAGCCCTCCATTTCGCGCCCGCGGAACCAGCTTCGCGGGCTACCCATCACTCGCGAGCTACACGCCCCAGCAGTGCCCATATTCCGCGCCCGCGAAATCGCATTCGCTAGTTACCAGCACTCGCGAGCTGCCATGCCTTGGACAACGCCTAATTTCCGCGCGCGCGAGCGGCGCCTAGGCCGCGAGTCCATTTTCGCGAGCAACTATATATTAAGTGTGGGGGAGGTGTATCGGGGGTTCGTGGCCCCAATTTTTGATCTTTCATGCATACGTGTGTCTTCGTTGAGTTTGTGGATTCTCGGTTATTATCCCTCCGAGACGCATACATGTGGCCATTACTCAGAGCCGGCGGAAGGGATCCTTTTATGCTTTCAAATGTAATAGTGCCCGGATGGTTTATGGATCGTCATGCTTTTATTGTTCAATCGGTCGGATGACTTTGTTTTGCACTCGAGGACCTTTGGATTATTTCTCGTATTCCCAACGAACAAACACCATTAGACACACGGTGGAGCACCACCGTGTAGAGTACGCATTTTCTTTTCCTATTTTCTTTTTCTTTAGTTGTTTATTGTGTGTCTCCGCGTTTGTCTTTTTGTCGTTTATTTGTTTATCGTGTTTTGTTTTCATTTTCATCGCATGAACTTACATGATTATGTGCTCTCTCTTATGCTTTTTGGTCAAGCAATGTGGACATTGCTTTGTTTTAAGTGTGGGGGAGGGATTTTCGTGATTATGCATGCTTAGGCGTCATTTCTCTTATTTTCGGTGCTTATTTTTGTCGTGTCTTGGACCGGTTTTGTTTGAGTCTTTTGTGTGTTTGTGTCATCTCTCCCGCATGATGCTCAATGTTTGTTCGAGAGTCAAATAGCTAAGTGATGAGTCGAGATTGTTGATTGATTTTACTATTAACGTTCGTGCTTTATGTACTCGATGAATTTGACGATTTCCTTAAAGTTAAATGATGATTCGTTGACATTGGAACCCGCTTGTGGATTCACGAAATTGTTTTGTCCCTTGTTTGTTCTCAATTGATTGTCTTGAGACATGCTTTTCTTATGTTCGATTATCGTTGTAAACGTGTTATCTATACACTTGTGGTACGTCTTGATGATTATTGATGTTCATGATTATTATATTTTCGATGTATTCTTGTGTGCCAC